AGCGCCTCCCAGGCAACCACACACAATACACCTAACGCGCCTCCAGGACCATCGGGAACTGGGCTCGTCACGCACGGAACGTTGGCGGCCCCATACGGGCAGCACCATCCCCTGGCCATTGCAGGGCGTGCCACGCCCGCTGCCCGCCCATACCTCCCGGGCCCAACCCCCTGCCGCCTACACGCCCTGCGCCCACCCATCGCATGCCCTTCGGCCGCCCAGGGGGGCACCCCGCCACTGCCAGCCCACGCCCAGTTTTTGCAATCCGGTCCTCCTCTGAGCCTGCAGCCGCTCCTGCCGCACGCCCCCTCTGGTGGCGCGCCGCTCTGCCCAGGTCTCGGCCACGCCTGCCACCCTGGCGGGCCGGACGCTCGGGACTTAGCCCCCATTCTGCGCCACACGACGCGCCCACTGCTGTCCATCCGGACCGTGGTGTGCCCCTGGCCCCCTCCATGCTGCCCACCCGGTCCACCTGGGCCGTGGGGCGGCCTCACTCTCTTTTTTTCTGCCGGCGCGCACCTGTTCGGTGCTTCCCTCGCCCCCGCCCCCCGCCCCTTGCCAGCCGTGCTGGGGGGGAGCTTCCGACGCGTTCTGGGGATGTGCCCCTCCCCCCTGGCCACCCTGTCTGCCTGGGGGGCGGTCTTCGGCTCCCTCGCGCCCCTCCCCGCCCCCCGCTCTGCCCAGTGGGCTGGGGTCGCTGGAGCCTGCCACAACTTTGGCGCTGAGCGGAGGGGCTCCCTGCCGTCCATTCCGCAGGCGGCTGCCTCCCCCCCTGTTTCCCCCAGCGGGCCCACCCTGCCCACCCCGGCAGGGGGGGCCCTGCCCTGATTCATCTGACCGGCACCTGTTCGGTGCCTCCTCTCTCCCGCCGCCCCTTCCCTCCCGTCCCCGCTGGGCCCTTGCTTCGGGCTCTTCCTGCTCCCCCCATGGCAGCTTGAGCCCCCACGGGGCCGCGCTGGGCTCTGGCGTCCTCCCACCCTGTGCGGCAGCGCCCCCGACGCCGTTACCGACTGGAGCCGCCGTCCCGCCCGCGGGTCTTCGCAGGCTCTGCGGGCCCGCCTGCTACCCCCGCTGGGCGCCAGCAGGGTGCCTGCCCTCACGCTGTCCTCCGCGCCTGGCGGTGCGCGGCGACGCCGCTGCCGCCCTGCCGCCCCGCCTGTGGGTCTCACAGGCGGGGCGTCGTCCTCCCTGTTCACTTCTGCCCTTCCCGCATGCTCTCCCCCCCTCCGCGCGCTGCCATGGCGCTGACGGGCTGCTCGCAGCCGCCGCGCTGGCACCCCGGGTTTGGTCTTGCCGCCCGCCGCCTGCGCCCCAGCTTTTTGCTGGGAAATCCACGCCCGCTGTCGCCCTGGGGCGCGTGCGGCCATCAAACGTTGGCTAGACACCGACCGCTGTTGCACCCCTGCCCCACTGGGATGGTCCCAGTCCCCGCACTGCGCCCCGCCTCCGCCGGCCCCCTGGTGCAGCAGCCGCCGCGGACCCGCCGGCGGGGCGGGCCGCGCCACGCGCTCGGGCCTCGCTCCCCTCCCGCCCCCTCTTGCGGCCGTTTCCTCTGCCCTGCCCCTCCTCCTGCACGGTGGCACAATTGGCTACAACGGCACCGCCGTTTAGGTAGCTCTCCGCCAGCGCAGTGACTCTGCCTATCCGCCGGCGCAAAAAGTGTGTGTGTGTGTTGTGTTGTGTTGTGTTGTGTTGTGTCGTGTCGTGTCGTGTCGTGTTGTGTTGTGTTGTGTTGTGTTGTGTTGTGTTGTGATGTGATGTGATGTGATGTGATGTGTTTGTGCTGTGCTGTGCTGTGCTGCGCGTGCGTGTGAATGTGTGTATGTGTGTATGTGTGTATGTGTGCGTGCGTGCGTGCGTGCGGTGTATGTAGGTATGTGTGTATGTGGGTGCTTGTGTGCTTGTGTTTGCGCGCGTGCGTGTGTGTGTGTGTGTTTGTGTGTGCTTGTGTTTGTGCGCGTGCGCGTGCGCGTGTTTGTGTGTGTGTGTGTTTGTGTTTGTGTTTGTGATTGTGGTTGTGTTTGTGTGTGTGTGTGTGAATTTTGAGTTCGTGCTTGTGCTTGTGCGTGTGCTTATGCTTGTGCTTGTGCTTGTGCTTGTGCTTGTGCTTGTGCGTGTGCGTGTGTCTGTGCTTGTGCTTGTGCTTGTGCTTGTGCTTGTGCTTGTGTGTGTGTTTGTGTTTGTGTTTGTGTTTGTGTTTGTGTGCGTGTTTGTGTGCGTGTGTGTGCTGGGCGGCCGCAGGGGAGGAGGGGGGGCAGGGGTAGTAGTGAGCCCAGGCCGTGAAGTCCTTCGAAATCTCCGGCGCCACGCGGAGACGCCAGTCGCTGCATCTGGAGGCCAGGAACTGTCTCCAACCAGGCGGCTCGCGGCTCGGGGCCCAGGGAGCCCAGGACGCCGCGCACTGGGCAGACAGCGCACTGGCACACACCGCGCAGCAGCGCACGGCCCGGGAGCAGCCTCAGGCTTTTCCCATGGTGGGGGGCCTCCCCGAACGTCCGATGCTTTGATCTTGCTCGAAACGGGTTCTACAGGAGGCCCAAACCTTCCTTAGTGCGAGGATGCTTTCATGATAAGACTTGCTGATGATACGCTCCAGGATTTCCAGGGTATCTAGCGGCGCATCCTGCTCGGAACATCAGGAACGATGGGGGAACCCTGGGATCCCCAGAAATCGTGGAACGTATCATCATCATGACCTCGTGCTCCCCTGATCTCCCAAAGACGAGCTCTTCATGCCGACTCGTCTTGTGGCCCCCCAGGGCCAGGCGAAGGCCCCAGTGGGCAAGACACGGCACCACACGGAATCGGCCGTCGAGGTTTTGTTCGCGGCGCGAGCATGTCTGGGTCAAAGGGCTCGGGACTCGGAACTCAACTCGGCAGCGCGCTAAGGGGGGAGGTGAGAGGGTGGGCCGCTCAGAAGCACTCTATGCTTCAGAGAAGGCGTAGAAAGCTTCTCAGAAGGCTGGAGGCCGTCTGAGAGGGCGCCCTCGTGGGCGAACAACATTTCTGTATCCGCGGGCTCGCGGGCCAGGCACCTGGGCCGCGACCCCGCCGATGCGGGGCGTGTTTTCGCGGACGCCTCGCGCGGAACGTGTCCGTGCGATCCGCGGGATCGCGCCCCGGAGTCTCGACCGCGAGGGCGCGGATACAGGTATGTTCGACGCTCGTGACCCGAGTTCCGACGGCGCCAGAAAATTGAGACATCGCGCACCTAGACCCCATCTTTGTGCGCCATTTTTCGAGCCCGATCGATATGTGAAGGTCCCGGGGCCCGAAGCCTGGCGGAAACGGCCAGCTCAAAAAAAAATGAGACGCCAAGCTCTGCGGGGAGGGCCCGCCACCTCTCGGTTTCGCCCTGCCGGGGGCGTCCGAGAGGGGGGGGCGGGGGGGGCACTCATGGCCCGACGCATGCGCGCGGACGGAAGGTGAACCATGGAGTGCATCGACAGACAGAGAGGGGGCCACGAGATCCGGGGAGACACCATGGCGCCCGCCCACAGTATCCACACACACACACCCCTAGCCATCAACCCCCTCCCCAGGCCCACGACGTCAGGACTTTTTCATAACGTCGACCCCATGCCGAGCCGTTTTTCGACGGCCCCTGAGCCCGGCAGGATCGCGTTTCTCTATTCTCGGCGATACTGGGCATTATAGGGGGGGTGGGGGGGAGGGGCCAGGGGGGGAGTGTAATGTAACGCCTCCCTCCCGCCGTGTGCCCGATGCGCACGGCCGCAGTGCCTGGAGCGCACTGGGGGGGGGTGAGGGGCGTTACGTTACAGAGCGGGGTGAGGGGGGGCCGGGGGCTAGCATGCCCATTATGCCCCAACCCAGACATCCGGCGTCTCGATTTTTTCCCGAGACGCGGGCCCCCGACAGCTCGACCACTTCCCCGGGATCGGTTAGTCATCCCGAGTCCTTTTTTGACGGTCCCGAGGCCCTGTAAGGGCCCCGAGAGGCCGAAAACTATTAAAAACCTTTGTCTTCGACACGCCAGGTGTCTGGGAAGCAATAAAGAACTCTATAGGGCCCCCACAGGACGGAAATACGGGAGAGCCCCCAGCCGTGAGCTCTGCACGGCTCGGGGGAGGGCCCGGGGGCCTCGGGTGCCCCCGACCCCTGGGCGCGCAGCCGTGCAGCGGCCCAGACAGCCCTGGGCCCGCCGGAGGCGTCGCATCGACGCCAGGGGCTGCGATAGGATGAAGTCGGGCCTGTCCCTCTGCAGGGGGACTGTTCGAAAATAGTCAAGAAATTGTATGGGGAAGATGTTTCGACGATTTATGGCTACTCTTTGCTGTTTTTCTACAATTTTTCACAATGCGCCCAGAATCCGCCTGCAGGGGGACAGGCCCGACCTACCTAACGATGGGGATGAACAGCCCAGGGGAGAGCAATACATGTGTCCAGGGGCGTCGATGGTCCATGTCTCGGGGGGGACGAAGAAGGGGGGGGACAGCCAAGGGTATAGGGCAGAGAATCAGCTCACGCAGCCGATTTTCCCAGCGCCTCCCGGCGCCGGGAGGCGCCCATATGCATCTCGAGGAACAGGCCCGGCGGCGGGGCCGACACCAGCTGCACGCAGCAGATGTCGCAACCCCCTCTTTCCCTTCGTTCGGCCCGAATGTCTTCGGCGAGGCTCCCGGGCGACTCCGTGCAGTGCCGCATGCCCGCCCCCGGGCTCTTCGCCCTCCGATCGTGGGCGGCGGAGGCGCCGGCGGCACGGCGCTCGCCTGCCGCGCTCTCGGGACCCGGCATGCTGGGCCGCGAGGCGCGGGGCATGGCGGACGCGGGGCCTGGTCGGGCGCGCCGCGCGTGCCCATCTCCCCCTCTCCCTCCTCTTGTCACTGTCTCTCTCTCTGCCTCTCTCTCTCTTTCTCTCTCTCTCTCTCTCGCTCTCTCTCTCTCTCTCTCTCTGTCTCTTTCTTGTTGTTTTCGCTCTCTCTCTCTCTCTGTATACGTGTTGATGTTTTCGCTCTCTCTCTCTCTCGCTATCGCTGTCACTCTCTCTCTCTCTCTCTGTTTCCCTCTCTGTTTCTCTCTCTCTCTCTCTCTCTCACTATCGCTCTCTCGCTGCATACATCGCGTTGGAAGTTCAACGGCGTTGCGGAGAGAAGGAAGTAGCATCAAAGCAATGGCTTGCTGTTGTTTTGCCAGGTGTGTGTGTGTGTGTGTGATGCATAGTTTGCACGAAAGTCTCGCATATCTAGCACTGTCCTTTTTATCACGCCTCCGCCATATCATTATCTCTGTGCCTGACTGGGCTCACCATGCCAGAGTCGCCGATAGCTGACGTCTTAAGATAAACTTGGAAAATGAATCTCTCGGTGGAAAACATATTCCTGGAAAACTGGTGGATGCCACTGGGAAGCCAGAAGACGCTTCCGCGAGAAATCAACGATAAGGAGAGCATGATAGAAGAGACCATACCCCTTGATCCGCCGACATTCCCCGATGTGTCTCGATCCGCTGACATTCCCCGATGTGTCTCGAACCGCTCGATACGATGACCGTTCTCTTGCCCAGTGTCGACATGCCACGAAGCACCCAGTCAATCAATATAAACAGAACCTGCCCGAGAGCTGGGTGGAACTGCAGAATTTCTGGACGCTTAGATTCGAGAAGTCTTTCCAGGCCGGAAGCCCGAGGCTTTCGGGCCCCGCGCCACTGCTGACACCCCATGCCCTCAACTACTCCTGCTCCTCCTCCTCCCCCTCCCCCGTCTCCTCCCGGCCACTGTGCTTGAGGGCCAAAGCGCCCTCCCGCCTGACCCCCGAGACGTCCTTGAGCGCCACCCCTGTTGCCCACCTCCTCCTCCTGCTATCCTGCAGCAATCACGAGTTTTGAGTCGTGGCACGGAAGTTGCTCATTCAACTGTTTCGTGGTCTGTTCGTCCTACTGTTGCCGCTGCTGCTGCTCGTCGTCCCCTCCCCCCTTTTCTCCCGCATATCATCCATAGCAGGCCCCAATCACTCCGTGACCGTGGCCCCCGAAAAGTAAACCGCAGAACCCCGCTGTTTACAAACTTAGAGGTCAAGCAAGAAGAAGCGCACTCGAGAGACACGAATCGACAAACATGTCAATGTTATGACCATGGACACAGAATCAAAGTCATACATACGAACGTGTATCGTTGCACCCGTAAACCATGGTGAATGCAATAGTGTCACCAGTCATTGACACATGTCTACATCGACTGTACATTGCTCGCCTCCTGTCCCTGCCCCGGCCTATCATAGACGAGCCGTCGTCGCTTCCCGCTGGCAGCGTAGCCGAGCCGGTCGTGACGTCGTCCTGCACCGTGCGCGCAGTGTCCCTCGTCGTGGACGGCTCCGAAGGCTGCGGGAGGAGAAGTCTGCGCGTGACGTCCGCGGTGTCCTTCGTCGTGGACTGCTCCGACGGCTCTGCAGCCGGAGTCTGCGGGCCAATCGCAAGTGGGGGGGGTTCTGGGTCGTCTCTAGCCGTGTTGTCTAGAAAACAAAAAATCCCCCCATCATGATGACCATTCCGACACACGAAGCCGTTGACTAAACGCCCCCACCAAAGGAATCGAACAGGGCAGGGCTGCTTAGTAAACGCCCAATGCCGTTTAGTGAACCCCAATCGTCCGGTCCGGGTGGTTTTTCCTCCCTTGACTGGCCCCCGACCCTGCTTCTGATCCTTCCTGGCAAAAGCACGACGCCGAAGCGGCCTCAGCTGCGCGACGGCAGAAGCCCCGCGCGCTGGTAGTAGGGCGCCGGCAAGGCACCCTTCAGGCCACGGCCAAGCAAGAAATCTAGCAAGCTGGGCCCCCAAAGGGATCCAAGACGGCCCCAAGAGGGCCCCAAGACGGCCCAAGAGGCCCCCAAAACGGCTTCAGAAGGGGGCCCAGGTGGGGGACCCGAACGGACATTTCGAGCCCTCGGCCCCAAGAAGCTTCCAGGAGGCCCCAAAAGGCCCCCAAGGAGCCCCCAAGAGGCTCCAAGGGGCCCACCAGAGGCCCAAGAACCTAGCAAGCTGGCCAGTCGCAAGAGGGCCGCACAACCAGCTACGACGGCCCGTGAACAATCCATACTCGTCCCTCTCCTCTCGCCATTGGCCGAAGCCTCTCGGGGGCGGCCCGCCAGTCCTCCAGGGCTCCGCTGCGCGGACGGTCGCCATCATACACAAACCTGCGCCTATAGGTCACCCAGACATCGCGTATCGCGCCCTGCGATGCTCGACGCGCCTTTCACTTAGAACCTCACGCCGCCCCCGTTTGATAAGGACAGCTCTCTCTGGCCCAGACCGCGGCGCGCGAAGCACGACCGTTGCTAGGGGGCCACATGCGAACCCTATCCCATGCCCCCCACGACTTCTGAGAGGGAGCGTGGGGTTCACTTCGCTCGGAAGCTCCCGAGCCAAGCGAACACCCCCCCCCCCCCCCTCAGAAGTCGTGGGGGGTAGGGGGTAGGGTTCGCATGTGGCCCACTGGCCCCCGCGGGCGATCTGGTCCCGGGGGGGGAGGTCCGGGGCTCGCCCGCATGTCATCCCCCAGCCACGGTGTAAAGAGAGCCGTCCTCCAGGTGCCGCATGGCCACGGGAACACTGGTCGGTCGGCCGTCGAAGATCACCTCGCAGATGCCTGGCGAGGGCTGCGAACTCACAGGCTCCAGGCCGGTCCTGCTTTCTGCGCCGCCCGCTGCTGCTGTCTGACGTCAACGACCTGCTGCTCCCAAGGACTGCTGACGGCAACCCCTCCTGGCAGCCCCCCCATGAACGTCCTCGCTCCTGCGCGGACGGCCAGCCGTTCTGGGTAGTCAGCTGGACAAGTCGCGCCCTGGACAGCCTGGTCCACGAGCGGCAGCCTATACTAGTGCAGAGCCCCGAGCACGCTTCCAGGGTGACTTGCAGCATTGTAGTGTAATTGGTTGGTGGTGCTGCGCGGAAGCATCATGGACAGTAGTAGCAATGCTGGGTGACTACAACTGAACGGCCCCTGTGCTTGCTGAACCCCGTCTGGGTTGAGTGGGCTTCTGCGGGCAGGTCGGACGCCACCAGACTTAGCAGCCAGTGGGCTCACATTGGCCTGCACATTGGGATCCAATCAAAACTTTTTCTTCTTCTTCTTTTTGTTTTTTGTCCCCGCGCGGTGAAGTTGGACAATTTCGTGACATGGTGACTCCTCTCAACAGACTCCGCCGTGCCCTCCAGGGGCCTCTTCCCTGGCCACATATTAACGGCACTGGGGATGCAGATTTCGCGAGCGGAGACGAAGCTCCGAGACTGACCACGCAAACTTGAAAACCAGCCAAAGGGAGGGGGGGGGAAGGGAGGGCGAGGCGGGGAAGCGAGGGATCCAATCAAAACTGTAGGCTGCGTAAGGCTGTGCTGTGCTGGCTGCTGACGCTGCCACCGGTTCGTGTTCCCTTCCACCCTGGCCTTCCGCCGACAGGGCAGAACAGATAAAGGCCCCTAGTCCAGATCGGCAATTCTCCCCCAAAAAAGAGCCTCGACGTCAGACCCCCCTGCACGTCGTTCATTTCTAACCGTGCTCATTTCTAATTGTGCTCGTCTCTAACTGTTCCTGGCCCCCGAGTGGCCAGGAAGAGGCCCAGGATGGAACACTTAGACATGACAGGGTCTTGCCCCCCCCCCCCCCAGAAGATCGAAGAATTTCTCAAGGGTTCGAAATGCACAGAGTGCACGTTTCGGGCACTGCTGACCAGGACTCCCTGAGCATCCGCGTGGATGAAACGAAGACCGGAGCATGTCACGGCCCACGGCCGCAGTTTGTTCTTCCTCGGGCCTGCCATCGGTACCCTGGGCTGTCACTCGCCGCCGCTCGGACGTCCACTTCCCGTGCACTTGTCGGTCCCGTGTGTGTTTTTGTTTGCTCGATGGTCCAGGATGGTCCACCATGGTTCTCGCCGAGAAAAAATGCACACGTCCGAGCGATGCCAAGGTCACAGTGTGTTCCCGCTTGGGGGGGGGGGGGGGGCGAGCACGGCCTGGCCGCCCGCGGCTGTGAGAAAGGCTCTGGGCACGTCGGGTTCGCGTCGCGCCGACTTCGGCGTTGGTCTCTGACGCCGAGGGGACCGTTCCACCTGGAACGATGGGCCGTTTCCGAAACTTCCACATCGTTCCGCTTCGAACGATCTTGGGTCGCCCGCGGCGTTCCACGATGAACGCCGCTGGCGGGGTCGCCGCCGGTCGACACGACACGAACCTACCGTACAGTGACAGCGGCTGTAACTTGGAAGCTGGCCAGTAGCTGCAGCGATGAAAAAACGCGCTGCAAGCTTGGGCGTGAGCGGGAACGATTCCACAGCGGCGTGGCTGCGAGCCTGGCCTGGACATCTGCTTGCCGAGTGGCCCGAAAGCTGGATTAGCATTGGATGGGGAATGCGCTTGGATGCAGCTGGTGTAGTTTCACAGTTTGTGTAAGTAGACGCTGGGATGGCGGCCTGCTCACGCTTCCAATGCCCAGCTCACTCCACTCCTCCTTACAGGCCCCCAACGGCTGTGACAGACCAAGCCATATTCAAATTCGGCTGCCGTGCCGCTGGCGGGGTTTCGTTGTGGCACAGGCGCGATGGAGCTCGCTGAGCTACGCCCTGTTGAATAACAAGAACAGATACCCTGGCATAGCAAGCGAAGGTAGGCCAGAAGTGGGTCAGAGAGGAAAATATGTAATTGGCACTCGCGGCTGTACTGCGTGCGAGCACGGCTGTGCAGCCGAGCGCGTGCGAGTTGTGCTTGGCTCGGCTTGGTCCTCGCACGGGGGCCAAGCAAAGAGCACCAGGCTAAAGCTGGGAGAGCATTAGATCCAACGGCGCTTGCACTGGCAGCGGGTGTGGCAGGTGTGGGTGGACCATGATTACCTCTGGCAGTGGACCCGAGCTGATACAGGTGGCCGGACGGAACGCCACGAGCCAGAGCGGCTGGGCCGAGGTGGCCGAGCAGCGGCCGCGTCTGTTGGGGCTCGAACCTTGAGGTGGGTCTGCTCGACAAGCATCTTCACCATCCCAGCCCTGCTGAGCCCGCCCCGCCCGACTGGCCTCAGCGACAGTGACTAGCCATTGCAGCGGCGGCCGAGGTGCCCTGCGGCTGGCCGAGCTTGCTGGAAGTAGTGAGGGTCGTGCGTGGTGACACCCCCGGAGGGTCGCTGGACCAGCGCTGGCGCCGGCAGCTGCTTGGTGGGAGCGGCGGCATGACCGCATATGTGGCAGACCTTGGGATTTGTGAGGGCATAAGGAGTAAATCATGGGAGTCGCCTGCGTTCTCTGAGGGGGGTACCGTTTTACCACGTTGGGGCGTGGCATCCTTGGCCTTGGCAGATTCGATGAACTCCTTTTTGTCGAATTTGCACAGTGGGTGAATCCACACATGATGTGGCCGTATCATGCCCAATTCGATGTTTCGGTGAAGCTGGACCATGTGAGATGTGTCAAGCTGGTGTTGGAGGGAGTACAAGAGGGTGTGAATGTCCGGGGTGTGCGTGTGTGTGATACTCCTGTCGGATTCAGTCGCGGCGTGTACTTACCTATTTCAGTGAGGGGTCTTCCATGCTGCAAGATCTTTCAAGATCCTGCTGCCAAGCCCAAAGGAACTGCGGGGGCAGGGCTGCTTGTGCTGGTATATACAGAAGCCCCGTCTGGTCATTTCGAATACAACCGGTACACTTCACGCTCGCCTCCAGAGCCTGGGAAACAACAGCGAGTGCTTCCGCAGTTGCGTATTGCTTGTGCAGAAACCCTCTGGGGCCCTATTGGGGCACTATGCGGCCGTCTTCAGAGCGTCTCCGTATTCACATCGGGGCTCTTGGGCCGCTTGTTGGCCCTCTTGGGCCGTCCTAGACAGGTTCTTTGCGATCTCCAGGGTCCCTGTTGCAGCCTCGCTCGGGGAATTCTTGAGGCGAGCTGTGCTGTCTTGGGACCGTCTCGGGCGCTCCTGGACCCCTCCGAGGGGTCCCTTGGAGATATCTGGTAAGCGCCGGTGAAGCGAAAGCATACGAAAATCACACAAGTGTTACAACAAATTCGGGCCGTCTCGAGATCCTGTAAGGCGTGTCGTGACTCCTTTGAGCGTTGGAAGGGCCTCTCGGACGTCCTCGAGCACGCATTGGGTCCCTCCTGCATCGTGTCCAAGCTCCCCTGGGAACCTCGCCGGCTCTTCGGCCGTCTCCAGGCCCTCTTGAGCGACGCGGGGACCTCGGGGATGTGGCCAGAGCGTCTTCCGCCGATTTCAGCAACGGCTCTACGTAATTAAGGGAGTTCCGCCATGCGCCAAGGGTGATTTCCCCGGGGGGGGGCCTAGGGGGGGGCCTAGATTTAAGTCGGGCGTGTCCCCCTACAGAGGGATTTTCGACGAAATATTAAAAATACTCAAAATACTCCCCAATGGTAAACGAATATTCAAAAAATAGTCCCAGACTATTGTTTTACTGTTTTTGAATATTCCCCCTGTAGAGGGACAGGCCCGACTTAAGCCTGGATGCCCCAAAGGTGACCTAAGCAGACACCATGTCTCAAGGTCAGGGAATCATGCGAGAAACTAGTCCGTCTATTTACTTGTGAGTGTGGCTGGTAGGCCCCTCCTCTTGCCCAAGGTCGCAATCCGAAGACATTGGGCAAGAAATTCAGACCGTCATCGCAACAGAGACGTGTCTTGCGGGTGGGCGGAGCCGCAGTGTGTACACTGCCAGTTCAGCTGCACGCGAGTCGCTGCGTCTGCCGCGGCAGGGAGAAAGCAACTGGATGGCAAGTGCCGCCGCTCCTCCTCTCCCCCCTCCTCCTCGTCCTTGCTCTCCTCATCCACAGGGGGCCCAAGGACACACAGGGCAAATGATACAAACCCCTGGATTCCCCATATTTCAATATTCTCTCGATGTTCGTCTCCCCCCACACACTTCTTTTTTTCCAAATTTCCGGGGCACCGACTTTTATTTGTGTCTGTGTGTGTGCTTCTTTCCCTCCTGCTCCCCCTGCGTGCTCTGGATTCCAAGGACGTTCGGCCAGTTGTTGCATGGATCGATGGCAGAGGAGGGCCCGTCGAGACACCCGCTGCCCTCCTGCCCAGCCCAACTCCCCTCAAAAAATCCGTTCCCAGATGCGGGGTCCCTTCCGCCCCCGCTTGTCGCTGCGGATCCGGCCGTGGCGACGAGCAGCCCCCTGGGAGGCCCACGGAGGAGGAACAACGCACGCCAAGGACGGCCGCCGATGTCTCGACTGAGCATCGTTGGACCGATCCCCACCCCCAGCGGCGTCGCCGGGGCCCCGCGGGCCGAGTTGCCCCCCCTGGATGGGGATGTGGGCCGTTCTCTTCGGGTTTCGAGGGATGCACCCCCCACTGGGGCGGTAAGTTGGTAGGAGGTCTCGAGGGGGATGGAGGATGGGGATGGGGATCTGGCCCTCCTCCGAGGATGTCTGCTGACCTCGCCGGCCTCTCCGCCCCTGCCCCCCGGGCGTGCCGTTGTCCAGGTCCACGCTGACGACGGAGCCCTCGTCGCCCCCGCGGAACTGCTCGAAGCGGCGGCCGGGCACCTGCTGGCCGACTGAGCATGGCGCTGCACAGTCCCGAACCGTCCCAGTCTCGCTCTCGGGGCATCGTTTCACCACCGATCATTCTCCCCACTGGCCGATGCACAATCCCCACTGGCACGGCGCTACACACTCCCGACCGTCCCAATCTCGCTCTCGGGGCATCGTCTCACCGATCCTTATCCCCACCGGCGTGGCATGGGCCCCACTGGCCGATGTACCCCCCTAGATGGGGATGGTGGCTGCTCCCTTCGGGTTTCGAGGGGTATCTACCCGACTGGGGCGGTGGGATGGTGGGTCTTGGGATGGGGATAGGGGATAGGGCTCGGTCAAACAATACTGACTCTCAGCAAGGAAGAGAGAGAGAGAGAGAGAGAGCGACATGCGCATACAACTGTCGAAGCTCAACGCCGCCCCTGGCACAATCCGCGCGCCAGGGAGGGGAGTCCAGCGCCGACCCAAGAAAGCAGAGTAGACCTCCGAAAATGTATGTTTATGTCATGGTTTGTTCCTTGAGTGACGGGGAACGTTAGGGGGGGACTGGCTGAGGGGGGGAAGCATCGCCCTGGAATCTGGAATCGGCGATGCATCGCCGATACATCGGCGATAGGCCCTCCGATAGCGACTCCGCACGTTCCTGGGGTGGGCTATCGGGCCCCGATCTGCGGTGGATGGGGGCTTGGGGCTCGATGCATCGTCCCCTGATTTGGACGCCTGAGATGGGTACGGGCAAAGATGGGTACGACGCCCAACAACCGATGTTGTCCACAACCGACAGCGGCCGCTGTTGGGCAAGCAGCCTTCTAGCCTTCTGTCTCAAACGGACAACACCCGCGGCGATACCGACAGCAAACCCTGTTCAAAATGAGCAGGAACTGCTGTCGGTCTTTATGCCTATCCCTTCCGTACACGTCGTTAATTTCTAATCGTGCTCATGTCTAGTTGTGCTCGTTTCTAGTTGTTCCTGGCCCCCAAGTGGCCAGGAAGAGGCCCAGGATAGAACAATTAGAAATGAAAGGATCTTGGACCCTCAAAAAAGTCAGCGAACTCTCGAAGAATTAGAAGTGAACAATGTGTATCCCTTCCGAAGCCATTTCGATCGCCCCGACCCGAGCCCATCCCCCCCCGAACATTGCCAGTGGGGCCAGGCCGGCGGGAACAACACGGGGGCGGCTCCGCGGGCGGAGGCCGGCGGAAGGCCGGCGAGTTGTTCGGGATTCGCCGGGGGCAAGAAAAGGTACCCGTAATCCTTCGGCAGGGGACCCAAAATAGGAGGGCAAAACACGTGAGGGGCAGTTGCTTGCAGATGTCTCCGAGGAAGCCACCCACATGTTTAGGGATGAGCCCACGAGCCGAGGACCTAAGTCAGGCCACGAGTTCACTGTGCCCTCAGGGTAAGGAGATGTACTATGCTTGATGAATCACGGCTTCCGGAGAGGTCGATTCATCCTTCGCCGTGTCCGCCGAGCCACTGCGTAGGGCGTCCTCGTTTTGGCAGGCGTGCCCCATCTGGTGCCAATCTCGATTGGCTCTTGAATGCCTTGGGCAATCAGCAATGTTCCCGATAGGCCCCCAAAGATGCCCCGAAGAGGCCCCAGTTTAGAGCCTCAAGAAGCCACAGGAGTCAACGCAGCAACCGTGCAATTCACTGGCCACATCACGGTTGGCGGGCTTCCCATACGTGACGCATTGTTCCCGACCGCGTTCGCATCCTCAGAAGCATGCTTGAGACGACTAAATCCTCCTCCTCTCATCCCCTTGGCCATCGCTCGGACGTCTACGCCCCGTTCGTGCTTCGGTCTCGTGCGTGCTGTCTTCGCAAGATGATCCAAGGTGCACCCAGATGGCACAGAGTTTCTGGCGCTGGCCTCGTCGAGAAAGACGCACACGCCCGAGCGATGTCAAAGCCCCCTCCTGCTTCCTCTTCCTCGTCCATCGTCCTCGTCCATCGCTCTTCTCCTCTTCCCACTCCTCCTCCTCCTCATACGCCTCTTCCTCCCATTCATCCCCTCTCCTCGTCCTCGTCATCCTCTATCTTCCATCTTCCTGTTGCTGTCGTCCACTTACTCCCCCTCCTCCACCATACCCCTCACCCTACCGATTCAAGCAGAAGGGTTCTTCAGCCTGGCTCTCCACGCCTCTCTACAAGCGGTTCGGTCTGTCTCGCCAGCCCCTGAGCATTCACCATTCCTCGTCGCTCAAATCGCCAAGACAATCCGAGATGGCCTCCAATATCCACAACAGGACCCGCATACGATCAACATAAATCTGAAAAACAATTGCTGTCATATCAAGCTTTGCATATTGTTTGGGCGACCAAGCGTTTTGGCTCAGTATTGCGTCAAGAGGGCATCGGACAGCCCGAATGGCGCCCAAATGGCATGACGGCTCCAAGCAAGTGCCCCCCAAGATGGCCAAGTGGCCACCCAAGGCGACCCCATATCGCCAATATAACCCAAGACCCAATATGGCTCAAGAGCGTCCCAGTGCTGCCCAACAGGGTCCCCAGTGCCCTCCAAGACGGCCTGCGAGGGCCCGCAGGGGACCACGTGACTGCCCAAGGGGAGGGCCACCAACCAGGCCCGAGAGACCCCGAGACCAACCAACCTACGATGTCCCAAGACGCGCCGCTCTGACTTGGGCTTCTCGGCCAGGGGGCGGCGGTGCCCAGCTGGAGGCGTCTTCCATATTTGCCCCTGGTGCCGAGATAGCTGCAAGAGACCTCCAAGAGAACAATGCTGAACGAGCGCACGCAGCACCCCGCAATGGCGGAGAAGGGTGAGGGGTCCAGGAGGGAGGGAAAGGGGAGCAGAAAACGGAGCTGCGAGCAGGCGTTTCTTCAGGCAGTCCGCCTCCCCCAACGCGCCCTCCCAGCGCGCCCTCCCGACACGCCCTCCCCACGCACCCTCCTGGCCGGCGCGCCCTCTCAGCGCGCGATCAAGCGTATGAAACCACCAGAACTCACACCCCGTGGGAAAGCACATGCTACGCCATGGCAGGGCCATAGAAAAGCAACACCCAACTGCCAGAGGCGACAAAAAAACGAAGCGAGGGAGCGGATCGGGCCACGAGCAGCGCACAGCTGACCACAGGTCAGGACTCTCTGAATCAACAAGACTGTTGTCAAAGCCTTGCCACGCCGACCCTCAACTAGGGAACGAAACCCCTTTCTCGCCCAAGTGGCGCCGAGATGTTCGAGGAACGCTGGAGGAATTACCCAAGGGACGTACCCAACCCACCCAGGACTCTTAGCGGGGGGGGGTAAAACTGCGAAGGAAGCCAATCGGCTGGATCTCCGAGGGATCCCAAGAAAAGAGGGTCGGCAACGTGTCTGGCAATTCCCAGGGTGGGGTGGGGAGGTGGTGGGGGACGCAGCCTGGATCCACGTAAAACCTCATTCCTCTGAAACTTCCAGAGGCGCCGCAGGAAAATGACGACGGTTGCACGCTGGGCAGCACCCCCGACCGAGGGCATACAGAGGAGAAGAGAACGAAGGAATGGTGGGAGGAGAGGAAGGGAGGAGAGATAAGGTGGGAGGAGGAAGAGAAGGCAGGAAAAGGTGGGGCATCAAGTCTTCTGCCAGAGTTGGGATCCAACTAGAAGGAGCGTCGGGGGGCTAACCTACACCGAGCCCCTTGCACTCGGGGGCTCTTCCTTTTCCGTTGCTTCAATAATTGGCCGCGCTGGCCGAGGAGTTGCCACGTGCCGCCCGTACCGCCTCGTGGGCGCTCCTGGGCGCCCGGTCCGCTGGGTGGGTCGGCCGAGGTTGCGCCACGTTGCAAGCTCGTGCCGCCTCGTGGGCGCCCCGTGCGCTGAGCTTACGCCACGCAGCTGGCACCCCATAGCTTGTGTCTACCTACCAGACCACCCCAACCCAACCCGAAGACCCGAATTTCGGGTTGGGGGGGGTATGGGTTCCGTACGTGTTTTTTCGATGTTCCCCGACCACCTGGAAATGGAAGGCAAATTGAGGCCTTCGGGTAGGGTTGGGGTGGTTTGGTAGGTGGTGAGCTTGCACGATATAGGATTCACCACACTGCTTACGCCGCGTAGCTCACACAACGTAGCTTACAGCATCGATCTTACACCACATAGCTTTCGCCGCCAGCTCACATCACATAGCTTACACGACATAGCGTACACCACACAGCTTGCACCTCCACAATTAGCTCACTCCGCACAGCTTGCACGGCATAGCTCACAACACACAGCTTCCACCTCCATGGTGCAATATCTCACTGCCTGAGGCCTACGATGGCTAACATTCCCGTGCCTTGACCTCGAGTCTTGGCAGTTGCGCACAGGCCACTCCAGAAGCCAGTTGGCGCCGCTGGAGGGCGGCACCTTGGGTGACGAGAACTCCTCGGACTAACACTCGGGATTGATAGCAAGGGTGCGCGATGAGGATGCAAGTCCATTGGACGCGCATATCGAAGCTTTTCGCTGAGGGGCTTGGCCATTGGAAGTGTTTAGGGATGGACCGAAGTGGCAAGGATGCAAGGGCACCCTTGGGCGGCTACACGTCGTTCATTTCTAATCGTGCTCATTTCTAATTGTGCTCGTTTGTAACTGTTCCTGGCCCCTAAGTGACCAGGAAGAGGCACATGAAAACAATGTGTACCCGTCCTTATCATCGGTTTCGACTCTACCACGAGTTCCTGCTGAGGCCAGCCTGGACAGCTTACGGCCTCCCAAGGCCTCCGAGGCCCCCGCGGGGCCCGCCGCGGGGCCCGCGGAGTCCTCCCTGGAGACCTCCTGGCAGGCCTCCTGGCAGGCCTCCCTGGAGAAGCTCCCAGGGGCCGAATATGGCCGCGCAAGTTCAGGACCCCGAGCCTTGATCCTCTGAGCCTCCTCCTCCTCCTCCTCCTCCTCCTCCTCCTCCTCCTCCTTCTCCCCTCTCCTCTCCTCCTCCGCCTCCTCCTCCTCCTCCTCCTCCTCCTCCTCTTGACCCTCTGAGCCGATTTTTTGTTGGGGAGGCGGGAGGGGAACGGAGAACAACCGCG